ACCTATACTGTTTTCTCATCTCACTCTTTTTTCACTTCTTAATCAGGCTTTTTGCGTTCCCGTTTGCAAGAAAATATACATGAAAGCAACAACTTGACAGCTGAGAGTTGCCAGAGATAATGGCAAAGAGGTCACAAAGACGGCGTCTGCGGTATGAAAAGGATCAAACAGGTTGTATATCGGGATTGATCAGCATCTTTGATTTTCGCCATGGCCGTTCCACTAAAAAGCTCCTTCCAGATAGAAGAAAGGGGAGCAGGAAAGCTGACGGTAAGGAACCTCTTTGATAAGCAATATAAATGCAGTTCATGTCATATTTTCATGATTTGTATTGCTTCAATTACTTGAATTCTATGTAGCACTATTTCTACAGACTATAGCTACTTTAAATTTGCTACAGGTGCTGGATCCTCGCAAACTGGACTAATGTCACCTGATTCCGATGGAAACTGTCAGGATAGTGAGGTAAGTTATTGCAGCCATTTACTAATCTTGAAGAGTATCTGGTATCAAAAGTTGCAAAAAGTCATTTTATTGTGGGATGTGGAGTGAAAATGGAAGTCTTTTGCCATATTGATCAAAGTGATGCTCAATTACTGGTGTAATTGCATATATAAATTGAAATACTGAATTCAGTTTTATGTCAAAAAAGGATGGCAGGGAGAGTGGAATAGCCTCCGTTGATACTGTTAAAACAAGTGTGAAGAAACTCATGGAAGAAGAGATGGTCAATGAGCAAGATCCAAACAAGCAGAGCAGTGATTCCGAGATGGGCCATCCAGAACATGGATGTCATACAAGAAAAGACCGCCAACATAGAAAGAAAGCCAGCAAGGGGTCTAGTGATATCAACATTTGTGATTTGGATGCCATGAAAGATTTAGGGACTGATAAGTCTGGTGATCAGGTTGACAGTCAAAAAACTTCAGATAAAATTGATTTTGAAATTATTATGCATTTGTTGCATGATCATTTCGATGTGCCAGCAGATCAGGCAAGTGCAGTTGATGAAGGAAAGTTAAGTGCAGCCATTAAGATCTTCATTGATCAGAACTCATCCAATATTAAGCATTCTAGAGATAATGGGCAGGTCCAGCAGTCCACAGAATCCATGGATGCTTTGAATAGATTGAGTTTAGAAAAGGACTTGCTGTTAAAGCTCCTACAAGACCCGAACTCTCTTTTGGTAAAGCAAATTGAAGGTTTGGAGAGCGCCCATTTAGAGAAAGGCCTGCTGCATTCCAATTCATTGCCAAGATCTGGCTTCGTAGAAGACAAACTAAGTCATTCAAAAACAGACGACCTCATCAACCACAAACAACACAGAAACTTTTTCCGGAGGAGGAGCAAATCACAGGAAAGTTTCCCCTCAATGGGAAGTGACAAATGTCAGTCCTCTAGTAAGATTGTTATTTTAAAACCTGGACCAGCGACCTTGCAACAACAAAACACAGAGATACATATTAGCACTTCCATGCAATCTCACAATCCTGAGGGAGTTAAGATCCAGGGAGAAAGAAGCCAGTTCTCTTTCACTGAAATCAAACGGAAACTAAAGCATGCTATCAGAAAAGAAAGGCAGGGTACCTCTCCTGATGGAATCACTCATAGAACTCTATCAGAGCATCAAAAGAGACATGATTTTGAGAAGGGAATTGGAGGAGAAAATTTAGGGTGGCGGTCTCCAAACAGAAACCACTTCTATACTGAAAGGTTTGCCAAACCTTCCATCAATCTAAATTGGGATGATGAAATCGGCAAACCAAACGACGCTGACCCATATACAGTGAAAGAGACCTCTGTGCATACCAAGTCGGGAGTTGCTAACATCTACCTCGAGGCCAAGAAGCACCTCTTGGAGATGCTTAGCAGTGGGCATAATGATACAGAGCTAATCAGTCAGCAGCTACCAAAATCCTTGGGTAGGATTCTTTCTTTTTCAGAATACAATTCTTCTGCCAACAGCAGCCCTAGGAAGGGCACTGAGGACAGCTCTGTAACAACTGAAAGCACACTGTTTTCTCATGGTGGTATTGAGATTGCTAATGAGACCACAGATCAGGTTGATGAAGAAAATCTTAGGAAACCCTCAAGTTCATTAAAGTACTGCTCAGAGATTGAACCTAGCACCACTAATGCCAGTCTTGATGAGAAAGTAGAAACTCCAGAAGCAAGTAGGAGTTTGTCTTGTGTGCACCATCATACTGATTTGGATGGCGAAGCGCTGTCTTCAGGTGGAGATGTAATGGTAGCTGAAGGTATTTTGCCTCTAATTTTTTTTTCTGAGATTGGATATGAGCAATTCATAGTCTTCATTTCATCATGTGGTAGATAAATCCTATGCAGGAGCTACAGGATTTGAAGAAACAACTAAAGGCGACCATGAATGCTATGAGAATTCAAATGCTGCTCATGAATCAAGTAGCTCTTACAGTACAGAAGATGATCGAAACTGTGATATTGCTGCACAATATCATCAAGAAGGGTTGACACAGTCAATGGAGATGGTAATCTCCTGGTTCTTGATGATGTCTGCTTGAAATGAGAATCGTAATTTACATCTGATGACAATTGGGAGTAATATCTTATTACTCTTGTAGTGTCCCTGCTGTGCGTGTTATACAGGCCTAAATTCTTGTTTTGTTTTGCAGGAATCGTTTGAGCAGTGTCAAATGTTGCCTTCTCCTTCAGCATCACCTTCACACTCTTCAGTCACTATAAAAGTTGAAGATTTTGATGGTGCAATTGATAGAACAGACAGACCCAGTCCTGTATCTGTTCTTGAACCACTGTTTATTGAAGATGATATCAGTCCAGCAAGGACCATACGTAGGCCAGGTTAGGTCACTTAATTAGATTTTATGAACTACAGATTTATTTGATTTATGGTCAGTTGTACTTCCATATCATATTTGATATAAGGATGTTTTGATTTCTTAGTTGAACAAGAAATTCAACCACGGCAAATTCATTTTGAGGAGTGGAGGTCTTCCAGTGACCAAGGGATGTGTATGCAGACTTCTTTGAATGATGAAGAATCTGCATTTGAATATGTAGAAGCAGTGTTACTAGGTTCAGGATTGATCTGGGATGAATATCTATTAAAGTGGCTTTCTTCATCTCCAATTCTCGATTCGACATTGTATGATGAAGTGGAGCTGTTTTCCAGCCGGTCTCATCATGAGCAAAAGCTACTTTTTGATTGTATTAACGAAGTACTGGAGGAGGTATGCGACCGCTATTTTGGGTGTTTCCTGTCGATGTCGAGTAATAAACAGAGCATTCGGCCTGTCCCAACTAGGATGGCACTTATTCAGGAGATATGGGAAGGAGTTGAGTGGCACCTCCAGCAAGACCCGTCACCTCAATCTTTGGATCAGCTTCTCAACAAGGACATGGCTAAGTCCAGAAAATGGATAGATGTTCGATTAGATATCCAACACATTGGTACGGAAATGGAAGAGGCCATTCTTGACAAATTGGTAGAGGACACGGTTTCAAGCTTCATCTATGATGATTTGAAAAATGGTTCTCTATCATCTTCAGCTGATTTGATTGAAGTTCGTAAAGTTGACCTGTAAAGTATAATTGACGTTATTACTGAGCTAATGCAAAAGAAGCTGATCTTCAGTCTGCTGAGGCAGTAAAAGGTCCTTTTTTTCTGGTTAACCCACATTTCCAGTTATGCTGCCTCTAGCTCTGATTGGTGGTCTAATGAAGGTTCACATTTGGTGATCTTTTTACCTCATGCTAAATTTGTGAGGCCTAAAGGACTATGCTCAGCCTATATTCTGCTAAGAGACTAGCATGGAAGCCTTCTGTGGCAGAAGATGTACAGAAATAGAGGATCTCTTATGTGAAACATCTTTTGATGCAAGCTCATGAGAAGGCAAAAGTGCTAGTGGATTATGGCAGAAATGGGTTGGTGATTTGATATGGTGATCATTGGATCTGACTTTATTAATACGACATTCTCTAGAAAGTGTAGAGTTGTAGAGGTTGGTGTGCTTTTGATAGGCGTGCTGTATCTAGCTGTGTGAAAATTTCTGTCTTTAACTCTCTCTGTCTCTGCAAATAGCTTACTCTTGTTGAATTGCCATTCTTGCTGTCACAAACTTTTGACTTGAGGATGTAATAACTCATACTAAGAAATAAACAATGATTTAAACAAAAAAAAAAAAAAAGTACGACAGATTCTGAATACATCCTTGCGCTCTGGACAAACTTCCTTTGAGGACTCGTACAACTTGATGCTATTATTACTTCTTGGCACCGTTGTTCTCAACATATTATTGGCTGCATGCCAGTTTTGGAAAGCCTCTTTGATTCCAATTCAATCTAGAAATGTCTAGATTTACTTGCATGATGCTGCATTTCAGGTTACCGGCTTGCATAAGATAATGAGAACACTTCTCTACCCATTGCGCTTCCAAGTGCAAGTTGGAAATACAGGGTTTAGCTGAGTGTACATGTATATGACAATAATGTTTGTTTGCTTGCTTTAGCGAATGAAGTACTGCACAGAAATCCATCAGTCACCATTTAATTCAAACTCTTCATGGACCTAAGCAGTTTACTTTACTCAGCTGGAAATTGATCTTCGGTTTGCTGAGTGCAGTGGAAATGGAACCTTTTGTTATTTATTCATCATGCTCTGCCCCTACTCCTCTTAGCAGAGATCATGGTGGTGTTTCTTTCCTAGGATGACTCGTTAAGTGTTAACTCCTTTTGATTTATGCATCTATGCATTTCTATTTATCAAAACAGGAGAAGGTAGGGAAAGTTGTTCCAATAATTTCCCCACTTAACCTTCTCAATTACATAGCCACTAGGCAAGTATTCAGCTCAGACACCATGTAAGACTCCGAAGCAGTTTCCCTCGAGCATCAACCACCTACTGCACTCTGTCCCTCCAACAGAAGCAAAAGTTGAAATCATAATGGTCAAATGAGGATTCCATAAAGGAGAGTCTCCTCAACTAAATGAAGAACGCACAACAATGCTCATAATCTCTTGTGAAATAATAAATCAACCGATGTATTACATTCAACTTTTCCTTTTCCTTTGTCTCATTACACAGGATTCAGGAAACAAGTTTCACCCTGCTGACAATGGTTTCCAAACGTATTCTAGATTCTAATCACCTGCCTTACAACTGAGATGAACGTCTCTAAATCACCCAAACACATGATCACACTTGAAATTTTTTGACACTAAAATCTTTAATAAGTTCTTTCGAAGATTAACAAAGATGGTCAAACCTTGAAAAAAGTATCAACATTTCTCTCTTAATTTTAACAACAGGACCAAAAGTGACTCCTTAAGAGAAGCTGCAACATAACAAGGCAAGTAGAATAGCCATTAAAGGACCTACAGTAAATAGAATAGAACTCTGAGCAGTAATTGGAGAAACGCTGCCTCAGGTTCTGGTTCAAGTTCATAGTATGATTAGGATCAACTTAAAAAGATGACCAGTTTATAGCTTCCCTCCTCTGCTACAATAGCCAGCTCGCATTCTTCGCTTGCAGCTGGCTTGAAAGGCAGTTCCCCAGGCGTACTGATTTGAAGTTTTGCACAACCTATGAAAAAGGATCTTGTGCACTAAAATAACCAAAGTCAGGAATAAACCTAGAACCCCCTTTTAGCTATATATGTGTGAGGAAACTAAAGGTCTGATTCAGACAGTCCTACTGTATCCACAGAGTTACTTAAGTTTTTTCTTTCCTTGTTGTAGAGATAAAGTCCAATCAGCAGGCCTCTTTTTCACAAATGCTTTTGTTCTGCTTCCTAGTTCCTCGTCGTCACTATCTTCTTGAGAACTTCCATTCAGTGTAGGCCCTCCAGGTTCCTCAGCATTCTTGACAACTTTCTTCTTATCAGATTCCAATTTAGCACGTAATCTTCTTTCAATCGGGTCATTTGACTGAATGACTTTGGATTCACGGGCAACTGCTGCACCAACCCCAAGCCTACAGGATCCTAACATGGTAAATTCTCAGATCAAGTGATATAGAAATGGTGGCGTTTGATATACTCACCTGGAAGGCCGAACCTCTACTTTAGCAAATTTTTCATCCTCCAATTTACTCATACTATTAACCCATTGTTCAGCCTGCATGTAAGCAATAGCTTAATCACTACATGGTATTAAAATTCCTGTACATAGTTAATAACTAATAAGCGACCTAACTCCGTTAAATCGATAAATTACAGATTTTTAGTGCAAGCAAGGAACTTGGAGCAGAACTGGTAAAATTACGTTTGTGAATGTCATGGCTCAATAGAAATATCAGGATGCAATCATTTTAATGTTTTCCCTTGATGCATAATTAAACAACATAAATTTCAAATGCCCATGAAAATGGAGTGAGAACAACCATATTGCCTTACCTTAGGTCTCGTCACAAATGGAGGACATGTGCCAACGAATTTCGATTAACATATAACAATGTTAAAGAGTTTGAGAAAAAGTTACCAATTTGAATGCCTTATTAAACTTCACCAGCGGAGGGAGTGATGCTTTTTTTGAAGCTTCATCTGACTTCATACTATCCTCTCCACCAATCTAATTAAAAATAACAAGGAAATAAGTGATCAAACACATCAAGAGTATAAAACCTTTAAATATAAGGGAGTTTATGACTACAAACAGCTATGTTTCATGTCTAACATAAAAATATTACTTCTAGAGCTCAATAGGAAGAAAGGATTAAAAAGGCATAGGCTACAAAAATATGAATGGTTTGGGAATGGATCAAAATAATGGACAAATTTCGATGACAGGAAAAACTCATGGATTCAATAAAGGAGCTCATAACTATAATGGATACCACCTTGACTATGCAGTCATCTATTCATTAAACCTATCTACAACATTCTATCAACTTAACTATCAAATTTGGTGATTTAGTACATTATCTCAATAAGTAAACACGAAATGTATAGGCTACTTAAAGGATTATTGAAAGCTACAACTTTCATACTTCAAAAGAAACTCTCAAATACAATACTAACTCATAAAATATTCCAATGTTCAATGCTAGCAGCTAACCACAAAACTGGTTTATGACCATACATGGTCCTAAGTAGCCATCAAATAAATACAGAATTTCCATGTTCAAACTTCACAGCAACACAATATGAGGAAGAATTGGAGGCTCTGCCATAAAGCACCACATACTTGAGCATGACACTACCTTCCACAAGACCGGGAGCTGGATGCTTTACCACACAAAATAACCACTAAATAGAATATACAACGCCACCACCTTGTAAATATTTGTCACCACTATTAACCACCAAACAGAAAGTATCAGTATTTACCAAATTTTTGGACAACAAACACAACTTTTGCACTCCAACCACCACATGCACATTACACACTCTACAGAATATCTGCTTTTACTGTACTTGAGGCTGACTCCAGAAACCAGTCACCAAGGTGATGATGTAAATAGTTTTAGCTTTTCAAAATTTTTCAAGAACAGGCTCTAAGTCAGTGATTTGTGCATTCTTCACAACGATGATATCAAATAACGGATTGCAGATTAAACGGTACTGAAACTTTAGAGATACATATTCTCTTGAAAATTTTTACCGTAAAAGTCTATTTGTGGTGAGAAACTCGTGATGTCAATGCACGTATCTGCTGCTTACAGGATTATAAAACAAAACGGAGTTATCAGAACACCGAGCAGGCTATTGTTTGCTTAATCCATTAAAATGCCTAATACACGAAAAGACAAGCTATTTAAAAAAAAAAATTTAAGCTTTTATGTTTTCAACTTAATAAACGAAAAGGAGAAATCAAAAGCAAAATTACAACACCCCAAAACAGCTTTTAGTTTACAAATAAGCTATAATCACAAGCAAACAAATAAGCTGATCATAACAAGCAAACGAGCACGGCTGGAAAACATATTCAATGGTTTTGATATTCAATAGCAACCTTTGCAAACTACCCAAAAAGACATAAAATCAAACAATCAAAAGGTAAATGGTTTTATTTCGTTTCTTGAATTCACTAGTCCGTAACAGCATGTACAAGAAAAAATACTATTAAAACTCTTACCTTAGTTCTCAGTGCTCCTCCAAAAAGGGCACCGGAACACCAGAGGTCAGGGTTCTGCTGAACTGCAGGTTGCTCAGATGACGAATCTGGGGAAAGAAAGGAAGCCCCTTCTACTCAACTTCAGATTGCTGGGAAGCGCCAGAGGTCGGGGTGTTTTATGGATTAATTGTATTTACCTCCCCTGAGTTTTGCCAAACAATTCTATGACAATAAGTTTGGCAGTGTTGTCTATTAAGTACTGAACAGTAGAAATTTTCATGAAAATCCTAAAAAATGTACTTTTCAACTCTTCTTTTTTTTATTTATTTATTTTACCCTTGAAAATTAACAAATTCAACGACAAAATATAGATAAATAACTGAGACCACACCCCAATCTGTACTAGGGATGTAATCGAGTCGAGTCGAGCTCGAGTATCGCTATACTCGAGCTCGACTCGACTCATACACACAGAGGCTCGAGACTCGAGCTCGATCGAGCCCGAAAATCGATACTCGAAGATCGACTCGAAGAATTTCCTTAGGCCCAAGACTCGACTCGATAAGGCTCGATCTTTAATCGAGCCTTATCAAGTCGAGTCTTATCAAGCTTTTTGACTCGATTTGACCAAAAAACCAGATCAAAGGTGACTGTAAACAGCTTTATACTTCTATACGCGGGTAAACAAGGGAAGAAAAGGAACTCTTCTACCACGACAAATGCCTCATAGCATAGGACCATAATAAGTTGTTAAGTCCTGCCCAACAATGGAACCCTGGGATTAATGTCGGTAAAACCATATTTCCTTAAAAGAATCATAATAGGAGATGACAGCAATAGTGTAGAGATGCAACCAGTCAACTCAGTATCCAGGAGTTGAATCTAAAGAGAGAGAAAGGCATGCGCATGTGCTCAACTGAGGAGGTCATAAGGGCATGTATGAAGACCGATAAACTTTGGCACAGCTACATGCATAAACACAAGTATAATCATCTACGTACAAAGCAGATCTAAATCCATTTGTAATAAAAGTAAAATTAAAAATAGCAATCAACAGCACTCAAGATCTTATTTTCAACATGCAAAAATGAATGCTCAAATACAGCTACACCTCTCTCTCTGATGGAATATAACTTGAATAACAAGAAAATGAAAAGAACAAGTTCCAAACTAGAATCACAAGAAAACGACACAGATCTAACAATTAATATTTCTGAGCAAAAAAATTAATGCAGGCACGAACTAATGCAACAAAACTAGACAATAGTCATTAAGTTTATACAAACGGCAGGCAAAAAAGGAAAATGCAGCAGATACTAGAGCAAAATCCTCAAACAACACTAACAACTATCTGATGGAATGTAGCTTCTACTACAAAAACTTCAAATAAAGGTTTTAACTACCCAGGAACACATAAAATAAGCAAATGTATTCCTTTCAGCCATGAAATTATAAAAATTGACTAAATAGCACAGAAATCACATTGTACTTAAAGCTAATACATGTGTGGTCCCAAAAATGTAAATCTTTCAGAAGTAGCAAGGGTGCAAACTCTAGCATCAAACAAGCAAGTTAAGACCTTCAAGACTCCGTAAACAAAACACCCGAAGTGGAACACCAACACATAGCCTCAACCCCACTTTCTACAAGATTACAAATGTCTATACATAGCCTCAACCCCAAGGCCTTAACTTTTAAAGGCTGCACAACTGGAGAGAGCTTCTTGTGTATAAAATACAAAGCTTATGTTATATCACACCTAATCTAAACTACTACAACAGTTAGAGTTTGCAATTGGAAGCTCAGATTTCGTCCCCATATCAATTCAGGATAACAAGTTTCCTAGTCGATCTTGGCCCATTTTAATGCCAGAGACACAGAGCCAAAAACAGAGGAGCACTTACCTAAGTGCTCCAGAGATGAGCAGTGATGAACCAGCAATGAACTAGTGAGATCTTGGTGCTTCGTCTTCGACACTCGGCAGCGATGAACCAGCACGGCAGGACACAGCCGACAGGAGACGTACAGCGCGGCGGACTGGCGGAGGCCGGAGAGGCAGAGAGCAGCTTCGATTTGGGACTTGGGACTTGGGACTTGTTAAGGCGATGGCGATGGCGATGGCGATGGAGTCTCACAGATGCGGCGAGCAACGGCGTCGGCGACGAACGGAGTGAGGGTGTAGATCTAAATCAGTCAGAGTCGGCTGCCGGCTGGTAAAGTGAATTTTTTTGCTAGGCTTTCTTCGAACAGAGAAGAAAGTCGCACAGTCGGCACAGAAAAGGAAGAAAGTCTTTTCTTCCTTTTTTTTTTAGACATTTTTTCTTTTTAGTGTTTTTTACAATTATGTTATTACTTTTTTACCATTATAGGATTTTATTATAAAGAAGTTAATATTGTAAATTTCATATAACCTATATCCATAATGGTCATTTTATAATTATAATAAATATATATTATTTAAATTATAAATATTTTATTTAATTAACTCTGGCTCGTCGAACTACTCGACGAGCCACGAGCTCGGAATATGCGACTCGATACTCGACTCGATTTGGAGTCGAGTTACTCGAAACTCGACTCGAACTCGATCAACCCAAGTTCGAGTCGAGTTGTTGACCGAGCTACTCGCGAGTAGCTCGGCTCACGAACAACTCTAATCTATACCATCGCAATCTGCCATTGCTAACATATTCATAAATGCAATGCCCTCAGAGAACACCAAACATTATTATTAATTCCCAACTGTGATTGGAATAACTATGGGCCAAATTTTAGAAAATAAAATAAAATTGAGGCACTAATATTCCAAAGGAGAGTCAAATTTAAAACCTCTATAGGTTAATAATTTTAGAACGATACAAATTTTATTAATTTAAAGAGATATTAATTAACCAACCCCCGATAGAGGAGTTGGCCACCACTGTATATAGTGGGACGGGAAGTCAAGGGAAAAAAATGTTGTTTAGATATTAAAATTTAACCATCACTATCTAAAATATGATCTAAATTTTTATTTTATTTTTATAAAAATATGAATTATTCTATTAATAAAAGTAGGCTAAAGTTCAAAGGTCTCAAGTTTAGAAAAATTTAGATTTAAATTTTAAGGGAAAAAAAACAACAATAGAATTTTAAGGGGAAAAAAACAACAATAGACTCATATTTTAACTCGTAGTTTAGGAAAATATGATATGTAATTTTATTAATTTATGATATGAATGATACTAAATGGTTATGTAAGGTTTTTAAAAAAAATTATCTTATTATTTTATCAAAATTATCAATTTAGCTCGTTAGCCCAAGTCAGGATCAAAAAATTTTATTATTTGATAGAAGTTATTAATTTATCAAATACTAGTTTATAGATTTTTACTGTATCTCAAAATCTTCAAATAAAACTTCATTTGCATTTTTCATAGTCATATATATACCCAACATTCAATCATTTTTTATCACGTGACAACTATTCAATCATTTTATCAGGTGACCAACATTCAATCATTTTTTATGTACAAAAATGTCATATCTCACTTTTTAAGTGTCAAAAATGGCTCAGATCCTACTTTTTTAGAAGAAAAATAAATATGATTCAGTTCAAATTCTACTTTTTTGAGGAATAAAATGAACATGGATCATGTAATTTGTTTAATTATAAATGGGATCCAATTTTTTTTGTCCTTAAAAAATGGATTATGTATGAGTCATGTGATAAATTCAAAATAAAAAAGTAGTAAAAAATTTATATTAGAATCAAATTTTAACAGCTTATTTTTGTAAAGAACATAAATTTACTATTTGAAAAGCAAAAGGACTTAAAAAATTCATTTGATGACGAATGTTTCAAATAATTTTCTTATAAAATTTTATACAAACTCCCCAAAAGACACACTTCAAAATGGGCCTTGGCTTGGTTTGGGCATTAGAAGACGAGACGACATAAATTTTATTAGCATGGGCTGCATGCATTAGTATTGGCAATTTACGTAAAAAGGAAAGAACAAATTTGTTCTCCAAATCCTCAAATACACAAAAGTTTTTCTAGAATTACTATAGTAAATTACAATAATCTTGGACTGCATGCGTTAGTATTGGCAATTTATGCCAAAAAAAAAAAAAAACTTTGTTATGAAACAATTTAAAGTGTGGGTGTCCCTTTGTATTATCAAGAGGATTAATTCATGATTTATGGCTACATTATGTATAGAAGTTACAATCCATAAATCTATTCATGTAGTGGAGAAATCGCTTCATAGGTTTCTTCATATTCTTTGTGTAGTAGTGAGTGTTTAATAGGATTAATGTACCTTTAATCTTATAGTTGTAGTACCTATACATAGAGGTACATTAATACCTTTTGTGAGGACTTTTGTATTAGTTGGAATAATGAGATAATCACTCTCTATTTCTCTACTTCTTTCTCTAATATCTCTAATATTTCACTTGATATTATCGTGGTTAATTTTATTAGTTTCACAACAAACTTTACATTTTACCATTTTATCCATTGCAGCAACACAATGTTAATGAAATTTATAGAGGCGTATAGAAAAGATAATCCAACATTTAATATAGAATTAAGTCGATAAACAATCAAATTAGCCCTCTAACTCCATGAAGTCGAAGAATACAAAATTGATTTACAGGACAAATCAGAATAGACTGTGTACAATTTGAATGATGGCAGCACGATGACCTCTCCAATTTGACCATTCGATTGCCTAATGCTATTTCCATTTAATTTACTGGTGTAAATATGCTAACTACTGAAAAATCTCACGGATTTAAAGAACTCTCACAGGCTGTGAATCTTGTGGTAACGTATTCTTATCCAACAGACTACAAAAATTGTTTCTTTCCCTTTTCCTGGTAAGTAAATGGAAAACCTCTTTGTAGCAATATTGGTAAGTACTAAGTCGCCACTACATTCGTACATATACTATGTGTGTTTGGATTGTAAGTTATTTGAAATATTTTTACTGTAGCACTTTTTGTGATGTGATGTATGTGAGATAAAAAGGTAATTGGGAAGATAAAAAGGTGTATTGGAAATTGTAATGGTGATATCAGCAAATATATTTGGCCAAATAATTGACTGTCCAAACACACTCAGTACTATTAAATGGTAAATGAGATTTTACTGAACAAATCATGCATATGCAACGGTAAATTTCTCATCTAGATTCATACCTTTGAGTGATAAGTTACTTCAAAAAGTTACCTACCTCAATAATTTATTAAATTATGTTGTAGTAAGATAGTAACAAAAAAAAAAATCGAGGAAAATTATTCTTGAAAAAAGTAGATATATATATAAAGCAGGAGCAAATGGTTTGTTTGATTTACATATCATTTTTTTGAGTATTCATATTGCCTTCATTTTGCCTTTTTCTGATAACAAATTTAGCAAAGATAATTAAATTTTTGAGGTAATCCCAAATATTAAAAATTTCCCACTTCTTGTTCCCCGCTAAAAACTCAAGAAATATTAAGAGTATATATATATATTCAAAAAGAAAAAGAAGTTTTCTCCATTTCTATTATGTTTTCGTATTTTAATTTTTTTTCCCCCTAGCGCTCATCGTCATCATCTGCAAAAGCAGCAAGGAAAGAAGAGTCAAACCATCAACCCCCACTCCCCAGCCCCCAGAGCCTTCTCTCTCTCTCTCTCTCTCTCTATCTATACATCGACCTATACAAACAGTCAAAAAAATAGGCTAAATATACATTTTCATACATAGATACAGGCACTTGTATGTACATGCCCATCGCTCGATATTTCAATCCTAATTCAGTAAATCTCCCAATCGCCTTCTGATTTCCATTGAATTTCTACTTATTTTCTCTCTCCTCTCCCATTCTACCAGTTTCTTTCTCTTTCTTTCTTCAATTAGTGAAAACCCTAATCTTGAAAAACCTCCTCTTGAACCCTAGTGATTGGAATTTGTTCAGCTCGTTTCAACTTTACAATCGAAACAACCATTCCGCTTGAGATATTCGGTAGTTTCTATTTTTTTCTTAATGTACTTTCTAAGGTAATCTAAGAAATTTAGGTTAAGTTGTTCTTACGTTTTCTGCTCTTCCGTCTGTTCCTTTCAGTTTATGCAGTTGTGTATAATTGGATTCAGTGGGATTTGGAAATTTGCAAGATTGAATGTGGTTGATTTGATGGCGGGGGGGTTTTTAGATTGGTTCTTACACATTTCAGCTGTGGTTGCCCGGAATTCTTTTTTTTGGGTCTTTTTTCTTTTCTTGAATTTTCTTGGATCAGAATGCTTTTCAGTAGTATATGTGGTAGTGTAGCTGTTTAGCCGTAGATGGGATTTAGTTTTGGAACTTTGTGCCAACTAAACAGATGGAGAGTCTTTATAGAAAAATGTGTGTTTTGCTTTGCCAGTGGAAGCGATTGGACCTGCATTGGAGTTTTCGATACGTTGACTGTGAAGAAGGGTGAATTTGTTTTTCTAACTAGTTTTGGGTGCGTTTAAGAGTTTATTATAGGGTGGAAAGCTGGACTATGGCACTCACTCATCTGATGAATCTGTGTGATTTTTAAGTAGAGGACTTTTGTATGCCCTAGTTAGCTGGAACTCCATGTGGTCTTCTCTTTAAAAGTGAAAGGAAGCCTTGATTTTTATGCTAAAGGAAGGTCAGGTTCGTGAGTTTTTCTACTTCCTCGTGGGTGGGGTCGAGGGTGGGGCTGTTCTTTTTTGTTTTAGATGGTTATGAAATGTTGTGGGCTCACTTCTTGCAAAGGTCTTGTTGGATTCATTACGTGATTAAAACTTGAACGTTTTGTGATGGTACAATGCAATTTTATAGTGGCTCAGTTGCTAGGATCAATAAATCACTCTGAGACACAATAGTAGTAATGTCATTAAATGTTAAAGCGCTCAACTTCTGAGTGTGGGTAAAGAATCAATTCGTACATTTCTTTGGGTGTCATGTGTCAATGACGCCCAAAGATTAATTGGAGTAGCTTCATTGCGTGATTGACCTATCATTCTCAGTGTCCAAAGTTATTCTGTCACTTGTGCGAGGTTCTCTAGGGTTTCAAATCCGGCTTTTAATCTTGAACACTGTTGTATTTATCCTCCTATATTGTGTTCAAGCTTTACCATGCTTTTTGCAACGAAGAATAGTGGCTTTAAGGTTCTGGAGAAATTTGCATTAATTTTAAATTGTCGTGTAGTTACAAATTGTTGTCATGTCCGTCTTAGCAATTAATGACAATTTCTTAGCCTCTAATTTTCTCTTAATCAGTTATTTGCAATTCCTTTTTTCCTTTCT